TACTTCCTTCAAACCTGCCAGTACCGATCAACTTATCCCACCACAAACTTCGTATATCACAGAAAACCCGTTACAGATTTTAAGTACTCATAACACTACCTCCATTCCGGCATATTCAACTCAAAAGCTACCAAATATTCAACAGTCATCTGGAACTCGAATGAGTAAATCATGTTCGACTAAACATATGACAACTGAAAACCATGTGCGTTCTCCACCTTCACAGGACGTCGACTTCAACAATGCATCGCAATACAGTGTGTCACCTCCACTTAATTCATCATCTAGTGTTAATGAAGCTGAAGTTGTTACTGACGACGAGTGCCTAATCTTATTTAATAATCAAAAATAAGTTTTCACGCAAATTATACAAGTAATATTTTTTATAGACTTATGTTAAATTTATGTTAATCTAACTTTTGACGCGGACCCGTGCGGCAGCCGTTATCGAAACGGCAGTCGCCGACCGTGTCCTTATCTTTCTCATCAACCGCCACTCCGCGGCACGCAACGCCGCAGCGACCCCCGTCCATCCATCCATCACCGGACAGGGGACGTGAGCGGTCGCTACGACGTCCGACAGGTACCACCATATAACCGTGCTGTTTTTCCGAGATCGCGGACAGAGACACATCTCGTCGTTAATCTCAACTTTTCTTTATACAATTGTGACATCTTGTGCGGTTTACGTTTGTTTTTCTCATTATTATTATTATTATTATTTCTCTTGTTGTTATTTAATCTACGTATTAAATATACCTATATTGTGCCACAACAACCCGCGTCGTTGTTTATTATTATTTTTATTATAACACCGTCCATCACTGTGTACAACACCAGCGACCCGTGCGCACACCACCACCACCTGTGTGCCGTGTCACTTTGTTAAGCTTTGATTATTTAATGTAAATTGTTTTTTTCTTTACCAGCTGCAATAACAGTTTTAATGAATATATTCTTACTAAAAGCAGTATATTATTACGTTTATTTTTATTTGAATAATACTATTCATTGTTTATAATTTGAATACAATATACTATAATAAATAATAATTTGTATTTTCAAATATTATTTTATACATGTTATATATGAGTATAATGTACAATTGTAACATTGACTCATTGTGTAGGATAAGCGTTAAAACATAGTACCTAGTTAAATATTAATTAATATACACTCATTACTCGGAATCTAAAATAAAATAAAGTACAATATGTGTTTCAAATTTACTCACCTCAGAGTTACAACAAGTATTACAATTGGGGGTATAGCTTTTCTCATATAAGTATCATTCTTTTTAATTTTGTCGTTTAATCTTGCAGCCAGTTCATCAAATGACTTAACACTCATTCGAAAATAATTGTAAAATTTGTCTGGATTATTTCTTAAGTCTTCGAATGACGTTGAAAAATGTCCCCTCAAAAGCCTTGAATCGGTAAAGGGATGTATCCAGTAACGCCTGTTTTTCTTCGACAAATAATTTTTATAAACTAAATATGCAAAAACTACCCGTTTTCGGTTGTACACTTCCATAGTCAGTAGTCACTTCGCGTAGTGTATCGACACAATTGTCGTAGTTCAAGAAAAAACGTCGGTGTTCAAGCGGTGCCGCACGTCAAAATAACGCACGTGTGTATATTACAATTGCGATGACGCAGCGGTGCCGCACGTCAAAATAACGCACGTATGTACCAAGCCTCCTGTAGGCTACTCAACAGTAGACTAATGAGATGGTCAATACAAATTCAAGAATTTAATCTACAAATTAAACACATAGCTGGTAAGGAAAATGTTGGAACAGATACACTAACACGATACCCTCAAGTAGAAGAGGAGCAGAATCAAGCCAATAAACAAATATTTATCAACCAATTAGCAGTAACATCTTACAGCAAAGAGTTACGTGAACAATTTCAGCGATTATTCCAACTTCAACAACAAGACAACAAAATAATTCGTACCAAAAAACGCCTGGAACAAGATATGAAATTACCAAACCAAAAATATAATGGTCTACTATTCTATGTAGATAAGGACAACAGATGCAGAGTAATGATTCCGGAGAACATGGCTACCATGTTAGTAAAAGAAGTACATGAAGCATATGGCCACAGCGGTACAACAAAAGTATATAAGCTGCTCAAAGGGGACTATCAATTAAGTCATATGTTTCGGACAATCAAGCAGATTACTCAAGCACGTGACCTGTGTCAGAAGAGTAAGGTATGCAATCAACGGACTAGGGGACCAATGTTGTCAAATTTATCAGAAGGACCACATGAAATGGTATCACTAGATTTGATAGGACCATTGCCATCAGGAAAGCTAGGTGCAAAATATCTATTGGTTATGTTAGACATTTTCTCAAAATATGTACAAATCTATCCATTACGCAGAGCTACTACCAAAGCCATACTCAATAAAATCGAGAAGCAATATATACCAACGTGTGGTAAGTTTAGCAAGATTCTTAACGATAATGGTACAAAATTCCACAGTAAACAATGGGCGAATCAATTAAAAAACCTGGGAATCAAAATTATACGTACCACAACATACCACCCCGAAGGGAACCCAGTAGAACGTGCTAATCGCGAAATCGGACGAATACTTCGAACCTATTGTCATGGCAAACATACTAGTTTGGTATCATACGTAAAGAAGATCGAGTTCTGGATCAATAATACTATGCATTCAACAACAGGGTATACTCCTCAAGTACTTATGGGTAAACCCCATAAAACGGTGACATTACGACAATTAGTGGAATTCCCAAGAGAAGATATTAAGGAAGATACGGAAGTAGTAATACAGTTGGCAAGAAAAAAAATGAAGAAGATGGCACAACAAAGAAATCTATGTATAGATAAAGGGAAAACTTTTATTCAATATACGGTGGGTCAGCAGGTATTGGTAAAAGAACAAAGACTATCCTCTGCTGAAGATCGGGAAATAAAGAAACTTTTCCTGCTATACCGTGGTCCCTACATTATTACCGAGGATCGAAAGAATAATACTGTTGTCATTGACGAAGAAAACAAAAAGGCCACCTACAATAACCGAAATATTAAACCTTATGTGTCTTCAAATAACCCATACCAAGACTAGTATGGACATAAAAAAAAAATAAAAAAATAAAAAAAAATAATTAATAATAATAAATGTAGTTAAATCTTATTTGTATTATATGTTGGTGACGGGAGAAAAAAAAAAGAAAAAATAAATAGATTTAAATATGTGTATTCATTAGTATACTCCAGGAATAAGAGAAAATGTCAAGGCGACGAATCACCGAACTATTTGGAGAAGATCATGTGGAAAGTGATGAAGAAACAATACAATGCCAAAGCAAACTCCAAAGGTAACTATCTAAGATCGTCGGTACAGATAGCGGTCCAGGATAAACATTGGCAAGATACCGAGATGAAAGACGTAAAAGAAACACTATCTGCGGTTGGAGAACTAATAGATGAAATTGATATGCAGTATAGCGACTTAAGTGAAGGTGATTAACCTGTCAGTCTGTCTATTAGAAGGATACAAATACAACATAATGAAATTAACACTCTAGAACACGCTAAAGCTTTGGCACAATACCGACGACAAACAACTGCCAGAATAACCAGGTGTAACACACCCATAATCCGAACCATCCCAATAATCACTGTGGATACCGATGGGAACGAGTACGCCAAGAAGAAAGGGTGCAAAGTGAAGCCGAGATAATACAAAGGGTAGAACAAATAATGCGTAGAAAGAATGTAGTGGATGCTACATTTGATATATTACAAAATAGTAAAGAGGATCAGAAAAAAACAAACAGTAGGATTAAAAGCATAGGGACAAAAAAATGTCAAGAAATTATGAGATACAGTCAAAATTATACAGAACAACCCATAGAATTATCATCTTCTAGTCAAATGAATGTAATATCAAAAAAGGAGCTACCACTATCAATACAAGACATTAGCAAGGCAGAAATGAGGGTGGCCGCCAAGAAAGCATGCTACCAGAAAAAAAAAAAAAAAGATTGATATTTGTTATCCACCCGTGTAAATACTTAGTAGTAGGTTTTCTTTGTACATATTTTATCATTACCCTTCAAAATAAGGTCCAAAGAAAAAGGGGACTATGTAACGAACACCAATAATGAGAACATAGATGGCGTTCATTACTACAACTACAACTAACGGAGTAACAACGGAACAACACCACTCCCAAGATATTGCCAACAGAGGGCGTATATGCAGTGCCTTTATTTCAAAAATGTTATTAATGATTAATATTAATTCGATTAATGGTTAATTATCACCACAAAGTTGATAATTATCAATTGTAACACCACTAATACACAGTTAGAAACAACAACATGGTATATGAATACCAATCATCAATAATATTAAGTATTAAAGAACAAATACCCGGAGATTCGGTGATATAGTCAACAGACGTTATGAATATATAAACCCCTTGAGAACACCGAATAATTATCAGTTCCGGAGCATTCAGCTATCACATTACAAAGTTAGCGGTGCACAGTCCTTTCGGCTTTAAGTTAGAGGACTGTCATTCGCTCGGCTATTCGTGTATTAGCTGTGCTTTTCGGTGCATCAATCGCCGTTCGTAGCCAATATATCGTCGCGCCGTCCGTAGCAAGTGTATCGTCGCGTCGTCCGTCGTTTGGTGGTTGAATCAGCGTCTCTCGGCCATCAGGTTAGAGCACTGGTCAACTTCGACCAACCGTGTTGTAAGTGCCGCCCAGGTTAGTGCCACTCCTAATGAACAAAATGTTCCATTGTAGTTTCATATGGCAGTCCCCGGGAGCGCTGTTGTCCTACCAGGTGGCGGTCGGCACACGCGCAGTCGCGCCACTGCTTTTATCTATGGTTTACGGTTTTACGCACGTGTATACAAATCTAACGTTCAGCATCAAATTTTTTATTGTTTAATCGGTCATTTTCGGTAGCATACTTGGCACTTGCTTATATCACACCATTTAACTATTATTTTATACTTTACGTTCAGTGCTCATTACGTTACTGATAAAAATGTCCGGAGAATATAAAAACCAGTCAAAATGCGTCGTTAAAGGCTGTACTTCCAAAAGTAAGTACCTACTAAGTATACATTATTGTTATTGTAAATTTTGAATTTAGTTGCTTGTGTATATCTATTTATTGTATTTATTGTATTCATTGTATTCATTGTAGACATGGTTTGTCATCGTTTTCCTAATGAGAATAAAGATTTTGCACGACGATTGGAATGGATTAAAACTGTGGGCTTTACAGCGGATGACAATCCTAAGTTCAAAAACAAATATATTTGTTCTGTTCATTTTGCTGATAATTGTTCAAGTCCTGGTACAAAACGATTAAATGCAAACGCATATCCAACATTAAATTTACCTGTGGGTAAGTGCCATATTTAAATTTGTTCTATTATATTTAGTTGCTACTTATAGGTGCATAATTTAATTTTAATATACCTAAATACTAAGTAATTTAAATTATCTTTTATATTTAATTAGGAATACCTGATGGCTTAGTTGCATTACCTATGTGCAGCACTCCAAAACATGATAATATATTGCATGATTTGCATGACATCTCAGGATTTGATTTTTTGAATTCAACTGTTGACGGCAAATCAGATGATGTTTATGATAGTACAGTAATTCCTCAAGTTATACGTATGTAATACTATATAGTTAATTTAATTGTAGCTAATTTGTGCATGTTAGTTTATTTGTATGCTTTTATTTTGCTAAATGTAGATGTTGATGGTTGTGCTATTGGCAGTGAAGTTAGAGATGGTGCTAGTCTAACTTGTAGAGCTTTAAAAAAAAAACAAAAGTTAAAAAGTTCAAAGAAACAAAATGTATTTCAAAAAATACATAATAATAATTATAAATTAAACTTAGTTGGAGGTACAATACGTCGCTTACGTATCCAACTAGGCTTCAAAACAACGTTATTATCTTTATACCAATTATACCTGAGCTGTTTACCGGCAGGCCTTAAATGTACAATATTTCGTCGTTTCTTATTACCCGTGTCATCACTGAAAACATATGATCTAGGCGTATTATATTTATTGATGATTTTACCTGGCTTCCACGTTTTAGTTAATAGATCTCTAAACATAATTTTTTGGCCCGGTTGAAAATCATTATTATTTTTAACTTTGGCATTTCTATCGTAATATAATTTTGTTTTTATATTCTTATTTTCACGTATTAAATTAAAATTATTTACTAAAGTAGGCTTTAGAGAGTTGTTTAAGATTGGAATTTTCGATCTTAAAATGCGACTCATTAAAAGTTGTGCTGGGGAAAACTTAGAGCCAATAATAGCACTGTTACGATATTCTAACAACATTAGTTGCTTATCAACTTTACCTTCATCCGATCTTTTTAGTATTGATTTCGCAATACTTACACCTTTTTCCGCAAGTCCGTTAGATTTTGGGTATCTAGGGCTTGACGTAGTTAAAACAAATTCCCAATCAGTCGCAAAATTCTGAAATTCGTTAGAATTAAAAGGCATATTGTCTGCCACAAGTTGCTTTGGAATCCCGTGTATCGAAAAAATAACTTTTAGTATTTTAATTATTTGACTTGAGGTTTTAGAAGATAAATAATTTAATTCAAGCCAACCGGAATAGTAATCAACTAGTACTAGGTAAGTATCTTTCCCATAATCCAAAATATCACATGCAACTTTCTCAAAAGGTAGATTAGGAACTTCTTGACATATCATAGGGTCTTTAGTATTCTCGCTCCTAAATTTATTACATACTGCATAGCTACCAATATATTCCTCGATATCTTTATCTAAACCTTTCCAATAAAATAAAGAACGTGCTCTCGTTTTAGTTTTACAAATTCCAAGATGAGCTTCGTGTAGTTTAAATAAAATTCTATTCTGTAACCTAATAGGGACAAACACACGATTATTAAGAAAAAGTAAATCGTCCTCAAATGCTATTTGGTAACGCATACTAAAGTATGGTTTAAGCTCACGCGAGACCTTATTGTTTTGGTTAGGCCAGCCATTCTTGCACACGTATACTAATTGTTTTAATAAATCATCTTTAATTGTTTCGTGTACAAACTCATTTCGAATATTTGTAGACATATTAATTGAATGGACTACATCGGAGACATCGATATCAACATCGTTATCTTGAGACGATATACACGCTCGACTTAGTGCATCTGCGATAAACATTTTTTTCCCCGGTACATGTATAAGATTAATATCATATCGTGATAATTTGACATTAATGCATTGAAGTCTTTTAGACGGAATGTCGTTTATGTTCTTTTTCATTAGTGAAATTAAAGGAAGGTGATCTGTTTGAACTGTCACACGCCTACCATAAATATAATGATGAAATACCTTACACGCAAATAAGACTGACAGAAATTCCTTATCAACCTGTCCGTAGTTAATTTCGGTTTCAGATAAGCTTTTCGATTTAAAACAGACTGGTCTGCCTTCTTGTAACAAAACACATCCAATGGCAAATTTACTACTATCTGTCTGTATAATCACTTCTTTTGTGTTATCATAGTTTCTAAGTACAGAGGGACTAGCAATTATTGTTTTAAGTTTATTTACACACTCATTATGTATTGATGTCCATACAAACTCATTATTCTTTTTAATAAGATCTCTTAGTGGTTTAGTCAACATTGCCAGATTAGGAATAAATTTTCCGACATAATTAACCATACCTAAGAATCTTTGTAAATCTTTTATAGTTTTTGGTATCTCATACTCGAAAATAGATTTAATATGATCACCATCTAATTTCATGCCTTCATATGAAAATATATGTCCAAGTAAAATTAACTTTATCTACCTTATATTGAATTTTGTTTTTATTAAATTTAATATTATTTTTCATAGCCAAATCTATAACCTGTTTTAATGCACAATCATGTTGAGCCTCAGTGTCATCAAAAATTAAAATATCATTAAGATATATAAATACATTTTCAATACCTCCAAACACTTTCATATTCCATTTTTGACATATTTCAGCTGCATTATTTATTCCAAAAGGAAGTCTATTAAAACAAAAAGTACCAAACATAGTACCAAACGTACATAATTTAGAACTCTCTAAATCTAATTTTATTTGCCAAAAACCATCTTTCAAATCAAAAACAGAAAAGACCTTTGCATTTTTCAGTTTTGACGATAAGTCTGATAATGTAGGGATTACACAATATTCACGAATTATATTTTCATTTAGATCGCGTGGATCAAGACATAATCTCATACTCCAATTTTTCTTTTCAACAATCACTAATCTATTTACCCACTCAGTCGGCTCATTTATTTCTCTAATTATTTTTTCTGACACTAATCGATGTAATTCACATTTCATCTTATTTTGGATATTAATAGGAACTCTATGTGAAACATTCGTAACAGGTATTGCATTGGGCTTTAATTGTATGCTATATTCATCGGGAAAGTTACCAAGACCTGTAAAAACCGTGCAATAATTCTCCAGTACATCATTACGACTTAAAATCTTATCAACATTTTCTACTTTATTTATAAGACCTAAATGTATACAGCTATGCAGACCTAAAATTGCCTTGCAATGATTATCAACAATTACAAAATTTAGAATATATTCTTTTTCTCTTAATTTTACTTTTAAATCAACTGTAAAATATGTATTAATATTACTACCACCATATGCCTGTAAATTTATTGGTTGCCTATTAACTACTAAGTTTTTAAAAGGACAATCATTTTTAATTAAGTTAAAATCATTTAAGGTCAGTAGATTAACATCAGAGCCAGTATCCAGTTTAAAATTAATACCTTTATTTTCAACGAGAATAGTCTCAGACCAGGAAACAGCCAAAGTATTCATTGTATATACCGTAGAACAAAAATAATGATCATTACTCAGCCCATCAACGTTTTCAACAAATGCAATCTCAGATTTACAAACACTTTGAAAATGATTAAATTTGTTACATTTTAAACATTTTTTACCATACGCAGGACATTTGCCTTTGTCGTGCATAAAATTACAATATTTACATAATTTAACAGACCGATTACAATTATTATTCGTTTTTTTATTACTTACAGAAAAATTACCCGTATTTTTGAAAACCTGTGGTGACTCCTCCTGTTGACTATATCCTTTTCCTTTTGCCTGTCGTTGATTCGTTTGACATTGACCACGATGTCCGTTGTTACCGTTGTTCTGTTGAGCTTGATATGTATGCTTACCACCACGTACTTTTGAATGAACTGCATTTACTTCATTTTGTTTTTCACCAATCTCCTTCATTTGATTGAGTTCTTTTCGTTGAATTTCAGCAATACGAAGGGTTTCTATTGCAGCTTCAAGAGTAACATCAGCTTGCTTAAATAACTTGTCGCGAGTCTCGCTATCTCTCGTGTCAAGAACAATTTTGTCACGTAAAATTTCTTCATAGAATTTAAATTCACAATCTTTTATCAAACCACGACACGCTGACAGAAACTCCTCAATAGACTCATTTTCTTTTTGAGACCGTTTATAAAATATATACCTGGAGTGTAGAATATTTTTTTTTGGTTTGCAATAATTTTGAAACGCGGTTAACACTTGATCAATTTTCTTATTGTCTTCGACGTTTTCAAACTTGAGAGTGTTATACCTCTCTAGGCCCTCTTTACCAACAAGGTTAAGAAAAATGGCCACCTGACGTTTGTTAGACGCTGTCGTTAGACCAGCCTCCTCAATGTAAATCTCGAACGCTTCACGAAAAACGCGCCAATTTTCTGACAAATTACCTGTTAAAACCAACGCATCTGGTTTATTGTACTCCATGGTTCAACAACAATTCAAAATTCAAATATACAATACACAATTTTCAGATTCTTCTAGACTGCGCCATGTTGCATCGTGCGAGGAGTGTGTCAGGTCAAAATAAAGTGCTACGCATGAGTGCTAAAAGCTGACTGGTTTTATTTTATCATGAACATATAGCCGCTATTGTAGATAACAAATAATCAGTTATAGGCTATAGCTATAAGTAACAGAAGGTATACTTCCTTTAGGAACAGCTCGTTTAAACCGTTTAAAAGGACTTACAATGCCAACTAAAAAAGAATTTCAAAAAGAAGGAAGAGGAGCTATGTGTGAAAAAACTACAACAATTGACGATGTTAAAATAACTGCAGTTTCATGGTTTGACAACCAAATTGTGACATTGGTATCAACCTACGTTGGAAGCCAACCTATTGTAGAAAAAAAAACGGTTCTTCAGGTCAATAAAAACATACAAGATGATACCATGTCCAAAGTCAGTTGAAGTTTATAATTCGAATATGGGGGGAGTGGATTTACTCGATTCAATGTTAGGTTATTACAGAATATCTACAAAATCTAAAAAATATTACATGAAAATTTTTTATCACATGATAGATTTATGTGTAGTAAATGCCTGGCTTTTGTACCGTAGAGTTTACCCAGATACCTATATACCATTATTAGATTTTAAACTATTGATATCAGAAGTTTTATGTGAGGTTTTAAAACCAAGCTCAAGAAGAAGAGGTCGTCCACTGCTGACAAAAAGTACAACAGAAGCTTTATACAATACTAAAAAAAAGAAAAATGGACCTTGTATGGAGCTGCCAGCAGAAGAGATACGACTTGATGGAATGGACCACTATCCAATATATGAAAAAAACCGTGTCCATTGTAAGTACCCATCATGCAACTTTAAGACAATGATATCTTGTTCTAAATGTATTACACCACTATGTATAAATCAACACAGAAATTGCTTTTTATTATTTCATACACAGTGATAACTGACATGTACATAATATTATACATTGCAAATCTATATAGTCTGATGACAATCTTTATAACTTCTAAGAATTTAATTTGTGATAAAAAAAAAAACAAAAGACTATTTTATTTAGTTTTTATTATTATAATTATTATTATTTTGTTATATTTTAATTAATATTGATAATTTGTATGCTTACATATTATAATTTGTGATGAAAAAAAAAAAAGATTGTTTTATTTAGTTATTATTATAATTATTATTATTTTATTATATTTTAATTAATAATTAAAATTTTCAAATAAAAAGTACAAATAGATACCATTGTTTACAGAAAACAAATACCACACATAGAGCATTTATTATATTGAGTGTATGGTGGCCAGAAATGGCACAAATAAAAATTGTATTCTTTAATGCATGGTGGCCAGAAATGGCACAAATAAAAATTGTATACTTTAATGCATGATGGCCAAATATGGCGAAAACAAACTTTTGGTGCATATAGTGCCATATTTGGCACAAATTAAACTTTGATCAACTTTAAGGAAAAGTTTGACTCAAATATTTTTTTAACTATTTTTCTCGTGATCCTGACGTCTTTTACTATAACCTCATTTTTTTTCAGGGATAAATAAAAAGTTATGCATGAAGGGGATAAATTAAATAAGAAAAAAATACATATTTAAATAGCATAATTATTTAATAATAAAAAAAAAAATTGTTGATTAATATTACATTAAATATCAAATAAAAAACAAAATTTAAAAATATTTTAGTTCCAGAGGAAAATATTTTGTTTTATAATCTCCATGAACTCTTAATTTTTTTTGTGTATATCAAACACCAAAAAGTAAAAATTTTAAATATCTTAATTCCTAAATAAATCATTTTACTTACGATTATTTATTATATTAGGTAAATTGTTGAAATATTTATTTTTTAATTTGTATACCTTTAAGAAAATTTGTCCATCAAGGGTATACGCAAGCTTTTAATTTTTCATCGCCATAAAGCATACATTATACAAAAACAACAGTATAGAATTTTTTATTATTATATTATTAATATTTATTTATTATACACTAGAGCCACTATCCAAAAATAGCCTCGTGCCCGCATAAAATTTTTGTGGACAACTTAATTCAACAGTTAAATGAACGATTTTTGAACCATAAAAATACAATATCTAACATTTCTTTTCTAATTTCTTATGAAACTTAAGATAACCAAGTAATCAAAGATTCAGTGAATGTTATTCAGATAATGTTGATTAAGACGTTTTTGAAGTAAAATTAAAACTTTGGCGTATACATTTTCAAAAATTAAGTGTATACGCTCTTATAGAATCTAGATGTTCTTGATAAGTGCAATAAAGACTTTTTTCCAAATGTATTCAAATTGCTTCATACTTTTGCAACACTTCATATTACATCGTGTGAACCAGAAAGAAGTTCTTCCACATCAAAAAGAATTATTATTAATTTTCGAAATTCTGTTGGCCATTTAAGGCTTTGTAGTACAGAATATTCATCGTGAAGTCGATGTTGAGGAGGTTATTAAAATATTAGCAAAACAAAACCGTCATACTGACTATTTTATAACTATGTATACTATATTTATATTATGATTATATATATATATATATATATATATATATATTTTAATTATTTCTCTTATTTCATATTTATATTATTTTTATAGATTATATTATTACATTGTTGTTTTATAACAAAGTGGTAAGAGATTTTTCAGTGATGAGTAAAAAAAATTCATGTATATTACAACGCCCCTCTTGAAAAAAATCCTACGTATACCACTGGTACATACCATGTACATAATTATTTATATATTTATAAATAATTTTTACGGATAAGTCTCCTGTGGTTGTAGAGATAATATAAATTATAATCAATACTCATTGATAGACCTATTTTATTCCATATATTGTATTTTTGATGAATCAATAGTAAACACTCAATACCTAACTCGAAATAGTTAAATTTTAACATTTTTTTTATTTCTTTTTACACATATTGTAACAAAAAAAAAAATTTGTAAATTGTTTTAAAATTAATTTAAATTATTAAAAATTATACATTTTAAATAAAATGAATGATTTTAGAGATTACAATTTTTTTACTGAAAAAAAGGTGTTATAAAAAAATATCTACAGTAAAAATGTTTCCGTCAAAGTATCTTCAACACAAAAAATATCAAAAAAATGATTTTTTTTTTTTTGTCACCCAATCAGAGATAAATTTTTACAATTAAATTATATTAATAATATTAAAAAAAATATATTTTAAACACAATTCAATTTTAAAATTTAGGGTTGTAGAACGATTTCTCTTAAGCAAATAAGTGCTTCCAATTTTCCTTTTCAATTTCATTGCATTTTTTCACAAATTCAATTTCATTTCATCATGATTCTAATATAATATACATTATTTGGCTATTAGGATTTCGCTCTCTAGAAATTAATTTTTCCAACTTTATCTGAAAATGTATTCAGTTTTTAATTTAATTCGTTTATTCAATAGATTTAATTTGTATAATACCTTTTTCCTTGTTCCTATTTTAAAAATGTGATTAACTTCCAAATGGTTACGTACCTAATTTATTCACTTGGCCATGGGGTGCTAGCCCTTATCTAAGTTATTTTTGTGATTTTTTTTTTAGATAAATGTTTGTTCCGCATCTAAAAAAATCTTTAATTAATATAATAAATGTTTTAAATAGATGGCTTAAACAATTAGCAATTTGAAAAGAAGAGCTATAAACACAATGGAAATACCAGCTGTAACAATTAACCAGTGTATAGGTAAAATTAATATAATAAACAATAACATTTTCTTCTTCTTCCTTTAGCTTAACGGTCCTTGAAGGACCTGAGCTGCCACGAGTAAGTCTCTCCACCTTTCTCTGTTGAGTGCTAATTCAACAGACGCATTCACATCCACCAATTGAACGTCCTTCTCCACAGCATCCTTCCATCTCGTTCGCGGTCTACCCAGTGGTCGTTTTTTTTGTATCGTAGTGGTTATGACCTTTTTGAGTATATCATCTTCAGCTTTCCAAATATGTCCAAACCACTCCATTCTCCTAGTTCTTATAAACGTTAATATTGTTGGTTTTCCATACAATTGGTACAAATTTTCGTTTTTCCGCCTTTCGAATGTTCTTAGATCGGGATTGTACACCGGGCCAAAAATTTTTCTCAAAACTTTTCTTTCAAATATTGCCAATTTTTTGTTATCGCCTTTCGTCGTAGACCAAGTCTCACACGCGTAAGTAACTATTGGTCTCAGATAACTGCTATAGAGTAGTGTTTTCGACCTTCTCGACAGCAATTTAGATTTCAATAACTTTTGGATGCTATGGTAGCATCGGTTTCCACTTGCTAACCGTTCAACTATTTCCTGATGCATGTCGTTTTTATTGTTTATGTTCACACCCAGATACTTAAAATTTTCTACACTTTCAAATGTGAAATTATCTATTTGTAGATTAGGCTGATCTTCTCTTATCCTGGAGAGTACCATACATTTTGTTTTTTCTTCGTTGATACAAAGTTCCATTCTTTTGCTGGCCTTCACGAGGTTAGACATTGTCTGGGTGATATCTTGTCTTGTGTTTCCTAAAATTACAATGTCATCTGCGTATGCCAATATTAATTCTTTATTTACCACCTCAACTTGATGACTATGGTTTATTTCTCGAATCACCCTTTCGAGGCCTAAATTGAACAGGGTTGGGGACAAAGCATCTCCTTGCCGTAGGCCCGACTTTATTTCAAAGGTCGATGATAGTTGTCCCAGAAATTTCACTTTGCACTCTGTTTTATTATTGCATAACTTTACCATGTTAACATATTTTTTCGGTATTCCAAAGTGGAGCAATGTGTTCCATAACTCTTCCCTATTTATACTATCGTACGCCTGCTTATAGTCGACGAATACCATATAGAGGTCTTTGTCGAATTCATAGTATTTCTCCATTACTTGTCTCAGGATAAATATTTGATCTG